GGTAACGGTAGTACGTAGTAGTACGAACGTACGTAGGTAGTATTACGTACGTTCGTACACGAGACTCTCTCTCCTCTCTCTCTCTCTCTCTCTCTCTCTTTCTCTCTCTCTCTCTCTCTATTCTGCAGTGTTTACAAATTTTACAGTGTTTACACTGCAAAACCGTAAATCCTCAATTTCCCGGTTCCTCGACGCTATAAAACCTCGAACTCAAATTTATCTAATTTTCTCGTATCAATGGCTTCTCGCCACAAATTCTTTGCCAAATCAACCGTTTGTTCCATCAAATCTGCCATGAAATCAAAAGCATTTTCAGCTCCAGTCAACGAATTATCATCGCCCGTAGGAGTTCCATTATCAAATCGCTCTTTTTTGCAGTAGCTTCCAACGTTGTCTCTTGAACTCAAGATTCATAGTCAATGTGTACAAGTTATTCAGGGCATTAGCATGGCCATTTAAACTTGGGATCGATGAACTTCACCGAAATTTGGGACCTCAATGTTGAATAGAGACAGGGAGAGGTGCAGAGAGTGAGAGAGATGAGAGATCAAAGAGTGAGAGAGGCAGTTGAGTTGCAGACTTGCAGAGGCGTAGTTGGGGATTTAGGGGTTTGGGTTTGGGTTGGGTAAATTTTTTTTTTGAAACGATGGGTTATATTGGGTTAGGGATTTAGGGTTATAGTTTAGTTAAGATAATTACTTATTAGAGTCCCGTGTCGGGTACGGGGTGGGTCCACTAGTACCCGGAACCATACCCGAGAATTTTCAGGTCCATTTTGTAGGACTGGGACCCTACCCTTGGGTCCAAATGCTGGACCCATAGCCGGGGACCCATGTCCGGTATACCCGGTGGGACCCGGATAAGATCTGGGTCATTGCCACCCCTACGCTTGGTTTGCTTTGTCTATTGTTGATAAGAACCATATGATTCATGCATAATACTTTGGCAGATTTTGAATCATATTTAATTTTTCAGGTCTAATCTGCTTATTAATATGGAGGACATTACCTTTTCATGTGTAGTCGCTCATTCTTTTGTGCATATTTGCATGGTACCTTAGTGCCTTTATTTCCATTTTCTACACATTGTTTAGCCTTATAGCTCGAGGTTATTCTTTCTAATTTCAGATAATCATGTTGTTCGTGTTTTGACTCGGTCTAGATCCAAGACAAAGTCCATTTTTCCTGGTAAGAAGGTAATGATCTACTTTGTGATTGCCAACTTCGAAGCATTATTTAGATGGTTAAGATTTTTTCTCTCTGTTAACTGTATAAATAAATTATTTACCGCAAAAAATAATTTCTTTTATGTTAATCAGAATACTAGTTTAATTCAAATGCCACATAGTCCACCCAGGAAATTGTTCTCTCATTTCCACTGAATAAATAGTTAAACATTACCTTAAAAAGAATTAGAATAGTTAAGCTGTATTGGGTAACAAGTAATATCATTGCCCGATCCATCAGAATGAAAATATTTAAATGAATCCTTATAAAAAAAGATGATAAAACACATATGAATGAATTTTGCACTTGTGGGACTTTAGCATTTAGTATTGGTTATGAGCTTAAATGCAACTTGTTTAGTTTAGAAGTATGTAAGACCTATCTGATGTTGCACTTGGATCATTTAGTCTCTTAAGATTTGATGCAGTGGAAAAAAATCACTGGCAGAAAGAAATCAAAGATATAAAGAATGATTGAAGTAATGGGAAGCTTACAAGCCAAGCTTCTAGCTCTCTTTTGCAGCCTGGACTCTACACAAAATAGTATTCAACTTTGAAAGAAAAATCGTAATACAGCCCCCATTTATAATAAGACATTTTACTTAGATCCTATATCTAATTGAAATAGAAGTCATAATTAAAACAAAATTCAGAAGGACATTTTTACCGTTTGTAAAATAAGTAATTCCACACGGACTCTTAAATAATTTTCCAATGAGCCCCTAAAAATCTTGAAAAATAAAAGAAACCCTACAAACCTTAAAAACTTAAAAATCCTTAAAAATAAACCCTAAAAATCACAAAAATACATCCCTATAATTTAATAGGAAGAATTTAAAAATTAGACACATCCTGTCCTGCATTAGACTTCCCTGGATAAAACTTGTCCTTGAGTTTTGAAATAGGCTAAGATAAATCCTGCACTAAAATCACAATCCTCTTCAACTCAAATGCTGCGCCTTGAATCCTGGGACCTGTGGGTTATTGCCCTAATCGAAATAGAGTGAGTTTGTTCATTGAAATTGGGGCTTTGTAATCAACTGACAAGCACATGAACTCTTTTGAGAGCACCTCAAGGAAAAGGTATGTGGATGGAGCAATTGTGATATTTCGCTTGATTCGACCACATAAGCGTGCTGGATTTGCTTGTAGCCACATAAACCCGCTGAAATTGCCTCAGTTTAGTCACATAACCTGCTGGAATTGCCTTGGTTCACCCTTGAGCAAAGCAGGAAGTGTCTTCGAGAATTGCACTAGATTTGATTGGCTGAACCAACAACTTTACCTATTGATTCTCCTTGGAGTTCTTCATCTTTTTCTTCATCAGAGATGGTTTCTCTTACAAAATATTTTTTCTTTGTTATGTTCTTCACTGATAAAATCCTCTACCTCCTCCTTTTTGGCGATGTATGGCCTTTCAAGGTGTTGGTTCCATGGTAACTCAAAGCTACTAGAGAATTTTTCTCAGCTCCAATGGGAGCATAGTCCTAATGTGGATCGGGATGAGGCAGAGGCCCATCCAAGACAAGGCAAGTCATTCTTGCCCATCGCGTGTTTCTAGATGAACACACAATCGACTCATCAGGTCTAGGTGGTCTAGGACCCGGATTGGTATATTGAGTCACGAAAACCCTTTAGCATTGGGCATAAGGTGCAACTGAGGAGGGTTTGAGGTCAGAGAGATGCCCGATGGCGGTTAGCCAAAAGTAAAATGTACTGCCGCAGCCTCTGAGGGTAGGGACCAAATCCTCAACATTGCCACCCCACGACATGCATATGATAGTCACACTTGTGGGAACTGCCTCCTATGGAGGACAGCTGCATATGCACCGAACAGAGAAACCCCCCACCATCGTATCTTGATGCATATGCCCGAAAGTGTGAATTTCTCCTTGGGGAAGACTTGAAATCCACTAACATTGATTCAACCACCTATTAGCCGGGTTTGATGGACTATTCATCGACGATTGCTTGTGAGATTGTGGGCTATGGGCTCCTTTGGGTTGGTTTGAGAACATGGCTCGAAATTGCACTGTAAGTCTAGTGGACTGCACTAGTTCAATAAAAATCCGAACCCGTAGTACCTAGTTTCCCTTTAATGTTTTTTTTTTTTTGGCAAACCAACCAAGTTTCTCATAGATAAAATTGAAAAGTTATTTTTGTGAATTTTTAAAATTTTTGAAAAATTTTTCCAAAGGGAAAAATAGTGGAAATAAAAATAAAATTTAAAATACCTCAAGACAAAGCATGTGAAGTGGTCTCAAATGGGCCCATGGGGGCCCACATGTAGGTCCTACATTGTTCCCACATAAAGATGATGTCACCCTTTGTCCTTATTTGGTATACTAGACATGGTTGAATGTAGTTAGGTATATGTGTAGTTGTGCACATGATGTAGAGAGGGGGCAAGCCATGGTGCACCTAGGGTCCAATGGAAATTATGTAATGGGTGAAATAGGGCCACATGCATAAAATCCCCTCTCCATGTGTGAAGAAACTCGAAACACATGTCATCTTTCTATTAGAACACATGTTGAGCTAGCTAAAGTAACAGATAGGAGATTTCATCTCTCTCCTTTGATGTGAGATGAGATATGCCCCCTTTTCGCTTTCTTTCTCTATTCTCTACACTTGAACATGTGTTTCTAGAAGATCAGTTGGAATTTAAACCAGAGTATTGATTACAATTTCAAAGTAGGATTACAATTTCAAAGTAGAGGGAGATTAAGGTTTGGGAAGATGGGGTATCAAGGTGAATATCAACCCTTGATTGATGATAGCTTATCATGGGTTGAAAGGCTAGATTTAAAGCCCCTTCACCCCATAGATCACCAAGGTCTATCATATTACTCCTGCTTAACAAGAACATTCTAGACTCCTCCAAAACCTAATTTTTGCCTATAAATGGAGGCCTTGAGTACCCCATTTAACATCCCTCTCATGCCTTGCTATGCAGTCCAAATCTCCAACCCAAGCCTCTCTCCTACGTCCGCCTCCACACCATTCCCATATAGCTTTCTTGACCCCTGGCCTTGTGCTAGCAGCAAGCCTTCTTAGCCATTAAAGCTTCTAAGTCGACTATTCCCTCCACAAAGTGCCACCGTCTTGCCTAGACCTTCCAGCCTCCATGCTGCCTAAAGCCATTGTTTTGTCCATGGACAACAACCTTTGGGGTTCCTTGGTGTCCCATATCTTCAATTGCCTAGGCCCTCACTTTGAATCCCCATACTTCTAGTCCATGGTGTGGTATTGCCTCGATATTCTACTCAATTATGGCACTCCACCCCCATTGAGCCTCCAGCCCATCTTACAAGACAAAATTATCCTTAATTTTAAATTTTATTCAATTTCAAAGGATGTATATTTTGATTTTAATTTTAGGGTTCATTTTTAGGTTTTTAAGTTTTTAGGAATTCTAAGATTTTTTTTTTATATTTTTATTTACAATTCATTGGATACTATTCATGGGTACCATTCATGAGTACTATTCATGGGTTAACGTTTATAGGGGTAAAATTGACATTATGAATTTGTGTTTAAGTTAGGACTTTTTGGGTGATTTTAACTATTTTATGGACATTTAATACCTTCAAATATTAAATTATAATGTATAAGAGGTGGTAGGGCCTTGTGGGGGTCATTGCATACGATTTTTAGAAATTGAAAAAGAAAGAAAAGCTTAGGCTTTTGGAACTCTACCTTGGGGTGAGGAGGAAACCCTAGGTTTCTCCAAGTTATTGCTTGTATTTGGCTTAAAAATCTTGTGATTTTTGCCGTTATTCAAATTTCCCTTTATATAGTGGTATTAGAGATCAAGATTCCTTCAACAACAAAGCTAGGAAATTACAACCAAGTCTAGGGTGTGCTGTTTTTGGGCTAAGTTTTACCAAATAAGCCTGGAACTTGCTGATTTCAACGAGGTTTTATCAATTTTCTGCCTAGGGTTTGTGATTTCAGTGAACTTATGGCAGCCAGGAGTCGTGGAAGGGGGTAGGGGGGGTTTCATACCCAGCTTGTAATCCTAGAGATGAAGAAATTAAGGAACTTACAAGGCAAGTTCAGCAGCTGGTGCAACAGTTTACGATCATCGTTCATGGGCAATACAATGATCTTTATGCCTAAGAAGATGTTGAGTACCACTTTTTTTTACCATCGTGCTCCTCTTGAACAGTTGAGTGAAGAGGAAAATGATAAAAGACCTAGACATGGGGAATATTACTCTAGGGTTTAAAGGAGGATATTCTTTATTTTGACACATGTATAAATATTAGCAGGTTGTGGATTGGCATCTACTACCAATCTTTGATACATGCTTAGATAAAAAACAACATCTTGTAAGAGATCCAATCTATGATGACGATCAAGATTTCATGGTTAAACTGATCTTTGACGAAGAAAAAGATGAAGGACTTCAAGGATAATCAAGAAGTAAAGTTATTGATTTAGTCATTGAATTCAATGCTCATCTCAAAGATGCACATGTGGTATATTCTAGGGTTATGCCAAGGAAACGCCAGGGCTGAATTGATGCAATTTCAACAAGTTTATGCGATTGAACCAAACATATATACCACGGTGATTCCATCGGCATACAACGACTCTTTCCTCAAGGATTTCTTGATAGTGTTTATGGATATACCAATTGATTCCAAAGACTCAGTTTCAATGCTCAATCATAGTGTTTTGATTAGCACAATAACCTACAAGTCCTAGTATCTTGTTTACAATATTCGGGGAGGAAAAGGTTGTGGGACTAATGGAAATTTAATCTCAGTACACTTCAAAACTCGAGGACGAGTTTCTCCAACCAAGGGAGAATAATGTAGGACAAAATTATTTTTATTTTTAATTTTTATTCTAATTTAATGATGTATATTTTGATTTTAGTTTTATGGTTTATTTTTAGAAATTTTAAGTTTTTATAGATTCTAGAGTTTTTTTTTTTTATATTTTTATTTACTG